ACATAGGGGACTATTGGCCCCTTATGTGATAGCAATAAAATCATAAGTTAAAAAAAAAAAAAATACATTAAAGTAGAAAAACAATACAAAAAAATTGGATACTCCCCACCCCACACATACGCAGATATTTCAGTTTTTGGCCACGTGCATTCTGAATTTTCAGTATCGGTTTCGGCAGCAGAATTTTCATTTTGGTGCACCACTACCACCCATAACTGAGAAAGGCAATGCTCAGCATGGTTTCCTGACTAGAAGCTATTACTGACAAACTAGCTCTAAAAGGGAGGGGGGAATTGACTTCTAGCTCTTGTTCCTCTATATCTAGAGCTATCCAGACTTAATAGTTAGCATTGCCCTTATCAGAATACATGTAAGCTAAGCAGTAGCCACACTTCCCCTGTGGGTGTCCGGTGGATATGTATGGCTGTCAAATCTCCATCCTAAAAAGTATAAGTAAATGTGCTAAAAAAAATGCTCACAATGAAAAAAAACAACCAATAATTAACTGGAACTCAACATGTTTCGCTCCTAAAGTGGAGCTTCATCAGGAGTATTCAAATCATAATAAATGTGTGCACCTCACAATGTGAAACAAAAAATGGCTTGTGTGTGGGCCTTCTATTTATTATGTCAGGCAACTAAGATGGCCGGCGCGTACAGCGACATGATTGTGTCATCACGTCGCCACATGCGTCATGCGTCATGCGCCCTCGTGCATGCACAGTGTCTCCTAACGGCACGATCCTGTGGCAGTGAACATTACAGTGCTGAATACATTAAGCGCTGTTAATATAGTCTGCAGCATTCTATTATGCATTTATATGCAGAAAAATTCTGGGGACAGCCACATACCAGTAGGGTAGGCTGATGTCTCATTAAAGAGAACCTGTCATTACAGTATCCTATCCCATGGGGTTATTGTCCCCCCATGTGATAGCAATAACTTAAAGCCCAAATCTGAGCAAAATAAAATAATTATCCCTTGGAGTGGGGCTGTGCCCCCACTGCAAGCGCTAATACCTTGTTTAATCCTATGGGAAAAAGACAAGGAGATTTACTTACCTGATCCTCCTGCAGCGTTTGCAGCACCCACACTTCACCAGTCTAATTCTGACATCATCAAGACCAGAGCAGGATCCATAGTCCTTGCTCTCGACGTGAGCATGCCAAGGGGCAGTCCACTGATGGATTTTGGTGAATTGTCACTTTCACATAAAATGAGCAACTAAAGGATACTTCACCTTTTGCAGGTAAAAAAATGTGTATTTATTATATTTTTATACTGCAGTCTGTAAGGCATTGCACCTGTGATCAGTAGATTGTGGATGCAATACCGGGTCCCAGCCGTTGATTACGCGCCAGTGCCCGATGATTGCCGAGGATCTCCGATGGGTGGGGGGGGAGAACTGTTAGTAAACAAAACAGTTCTCCCTGTCAGTTCCTGCATACTGCTTTGATTGGCTGTGCACAGCCATGCAAAGCAGTGTCAAAAGAAAAAACACAACACAAGCGCTTAAGTCCGTGAGCATCCCAAGACCACAGTAACAGTCACTCGCTTAGGTGCAGCCTTCTAAAGATCGGGGAATCTTCATATTACTGGAAGAAAGCAAAAAGGGGCGCACTCTCCTCGTGCATTACCGTGATAAAAAGGAATTTATTTGAAAATTACAAAACCAAGATTCATAAAACAAGCTAGGAACCAATGTGACAGAAGGGAGTACGTCTCCCGAAACGCATAAGCACACCCTGCTGTTAGAATACCGTTTGCCGTTTGCTGGGACTGTCACATTGGTTCCTAGCTTATTTTGTGAATCTTGGTTTGTGAGTATACATTTTTTGTCATTTTCAAATAAATTCCTTTTTATCACAGTAATGCACAAGGAGAGTGCACCCCTTTTTTGCTTTCTTCATGCAAAGCAGTGTGCTTACAGTGAAGCACCCAAACACAGCCCCATAGTAAGAAACACACAGCACACAGTTAACTCTTTGATTGCCCCAGATTTTAACCCATTCCTGCCCAGTGTTATTAGTTGTGGTGCACCGAAATGAAAATTCTGATGCCGAAACTGAAAATTCAAAATGCACTTGGCCGAAAACAGAAACCGAAATGCAGTTTTTAAAAATGAATATAATTTTTTAGGAAAAAAAAACACTTTGATTAAAAAAAAACAAAACCACACTATATACACCCCAATTTTTTGTAAAATATGAAAGAGGATGTTACGGTGAGTAAATAGATACCCAACATGTCATGGAATGGTGTGAAACTGCGGTACTTCAAAATCTCCATGGGTGATGCTTTCAAAATTTCTACAGGTTAGTAGTGTAAAGTTACAAAGGAGGCGAGAATGATTTCTCTTGCTGACGTTCGTGGCGATACCTCACGTGTGTGGTTTGAACACCGTTCGGCAGCGAGGGGCAGGGTTTTTTCAACGTTAAAAAGTTAAGAAGTGATAAATGTGCAAAATTATGCTCTAGTAAGGAATAAAAATTAAAACAGTAAATATTTATAAAGTGATAATGGTATTATGTAAACACATTACATCACATAAATATAAAAAAGTCCATTCAAGTTTTCAGAAAGGTGCATCAGTATTCCAAATAGAAAGATATCAATCATTCCCATTCAACTTCCATCACATAAAATAGGGTGCTCGTGATTTCCGTGATAGGCAAAAAGAGGTGTGCTTGCACTCACCAGACGTAAAATATATTTTTACGCATGTAGTATATGGGGTACTGGTGATCATCTGGAACCCGGTGGGGATGTGGCACTCTGACGGCGCTTGGTATACCCAGGGAATGTACTCCGGACCTCTCAGTGGACCCTCTCTGGTAGTGGGAACTGCTCACAGGTTTCACTTACACCCGGCATCAGGTGAGTCTGGTGATTGCAAGCACACCCCTTTTTGCCTATCATGGAAATCAAGAGCAGGGACGGACTGACCATTTGGAAACTTGGGCACTGCCCGAGGGCTCGGGGGTCAGTAGGGGGGCCCCATGAGATGCCCCTGGTACCTTTTCCATAGGCTTTTTTGAGTTTGAGCAAGGACACAGGGGCCCCATGATCCCCTATTGCCGGGGGCCCCATGAGTTTTCAGTCCGCCCCTGGTCACGAGCACCTTATTATGCGATGGAAGTTGAATGGGAATGATTGATATCTTCCTATTTGGGAATACTGATGCACCTTTCTGAAAACTTGAATGGACTTTTTTATATTTATTGATCATATTTATGCGATGTAATGTGTTTACATAATACCATTGTCACTTAATAAATATTTACTGTCTTCATTAAGACATCACTTTTTGTATCACTTACTAGCGCATAATTTTGCGTGTTTATCATTTCTTCACTTTAACATTATTTGAGCGCTGTATTTTATGATTATATATATGTTCAAGGATTTTAGGGGTTTCCTTATGCAAGCTGCTTTTATACTAGATTGAGAAGCGCTCGCTTTAATATTTATATTTTAGGGTTTTTTCAACACCTGTATTGGTGAATTTTTTCATATCAGCCGACGGCCGAAAGGGGTGTTTTTAGGCCACCGAAATTTAGGTGCATCCCTAGTTATTTCAGTGTCAGTGCTTTTTATTAGCACTGATCACTGTATTGGTGTCACTGGGGATGTCGGTGACACCAAGTCAGTTCTCCCCAGTGTCAGAATGCCTTCCGCAGTCCTGCTCGGGGGTGGACTGACCATTTGGAAACTCGGGCGCTGCCCGAGGTCAGTAGGGGACCCCATGAGATGCCCCTGGTACCTTTTTCATAGGCTTTTTTGAGTTTGGGCAAGGACACAGGGGCCCCATGATCACCTATTGCCCAGTTGCCCCATGAGTTGTCCACCCCTGGTCCTGCTATAAGTGGCTGATCGCCACCATTACTCATAAGAATTAAAAAAAAAATCCCAGTATATACACCGCCATCTGTAAACACTATACCTTTCACATAAACCAGTTAATTTACACGTATTGGGATTTTTTATACAGCTATAGAGAACAGACCAAACAGAGGGACAAAAGTGGAGGCAAGTGGGACAGAGGGACTTCGTTCCAAATTAGGGACAGATGGGAGGTATGCCCTTTCCTTCTTCTACTGTCCCCAATCCATCTGCTGATAGTACAGAGCTCTAGGAGTCACTCTACACATGCTCAGTCTAGAGTATATGGCTAGTTTTTTTTTTCTTTGGGAGGGTGCATGTGATCGGCCCATGGCCAATCAGCACTGCAGGACCCCTGACAGACGGTCAGGGGTCCTGCAACCTCATAGGACAGTCGGAGAATGAAAGCTCCTCCTACAAGCTTTAACCAGTACTCAGCTGGACACTGATAGAAGTCACAAGACTGTTCTATACTGCTGCTAACAAAAGGGATTTAGCAGTTTATATTTACTAAAGTAATAGCATACCCAATGTTCTGTGGGAGGACAGATTTGAGGATTTTTTTTTACTGAAAACTTGCATTTTATAAACGCATGCTAATATCATATAACAATAAAATTGGTAACAGCCACCATGTTATTCTTCAGGGTCTCTGCTTTCAGAAAATATGTTTTGGGGGTTAACTAATCTTCAGGCCTAAACTGTGCATTGCAATTTATGCAAAAAGCTAGAGAAACCGTGGTAGTGAAGTGGTTAAAAATGAGCAAACCAAACATAACACAGCAGGTGAGAAAACAAGTCTCGTCACAGCACTGAGGCGAGTGAAGTACTCCCGCCTAATTCATTGTATTGCAGCGAACGTAAATCACTGGGGGGCGGAGCTCCGTCAACTCCCCGGATTACAGAAGAAAGGTCTGCCTTTATTCATTGCCGCTCAGATACGTTCTGGCTGTAACATTGGAAGAACGAATACAGCCAGCTTCAGCACTGCAGCCTTGTCTCACTACAACCACCACACCATGTGCTCTGCAGTATGTACACAGCCCGCTCCCCTATCTACTATGAACTGCATGGCCCATCACCACCTCTTCAGGACACGCCCCGAACAGTTCCTCACCCTCGGGTGCTCCAGTATCCAGGGCTCCGCCCCCTCCCGAGTACCGGCGTTCAACGCTGTAATTCCGACTCGCTCTGTGTCCATGACAACCGGAATATGAGAAGTGCACACAGAAAACCTTCCGCCGGTAACAAATATTCAGTATCTAGTTCCGGCCGTAACGAAGGTGAAGATGGCCGTAACCTAGAAGTAAATAATGATTTCTCATCTGAAAATGAGTGCCCTGCTCTTCACTATAACGTTTTTGTTCTGTGAGTTGACTATGGAAGCAGATTTGGAATACTGAGGGTAGAAAGTTATGTCAGCAAGGGAACAGTGGAGAGGTTCTATTGCGGTCTGTGTACTGGCAGGCTCGCCGTTTGCCTTGTGTACCATTGTAATCGAGTAAAAGTAAAAAAAAATCCTTCATTTTGGGTTGACATCAGAACAGCAATAGAGTGGAAATTGTCTAAGGGGGACACTACTTGTGGTGACACATCGGGATTCCCTCACTTTGGACTTCCTGTTTTGGTTACAAGACAAGAAGTGAAGGGAAATCTCCCCAATAGAACACACACGGCAAAAAAACCCAAAACTGACGGGTTTTAAACCTCCTTTAGGCTAGGTTCACACCAATGCAGTTTGAGTTTGACCAATTTCTGTATGGCGTTGCATTTTTGCACCTGCGTTTTTGCAGTGTTTTTATGTGTTTTGCACAGTTTTTAAATTTTTTTTCTTGTTGCTAGGCAGATTTAAAATGCATCAAAAATGCACTACATGCTTTTCTGTGGCGTTTCCATTAAAGTCTATAGAACCAAAAACTCAACTGTTTGCGTTCAAAAAAGTCCTTGACCCCTTCCAAAAAATGTGCCGGGTACAAACGCGGAGTTGTGAATGTGTCCCATAGGAAATCATGTTGAATGGACTGTAGTGCGTTTCTACAAAACGGGGCTCACGCATGCCCCCTTCCCTGAAATGTAAAATCACGTATATATATATATATGTGATTTTGCACACCCGTGCCGCCCTGTAGAAGTATTTCTGCTATAGGGCGGTCGGGAAGCAGTTAATTTACACTGTTCCTTTTTTATTATTATTTTTTTTATCACTTTTATTACTATCACAAGGGAATAACGACATCCTTTGTGGCAGCATGGGCAGGTCCTCTATTTGTAGAGATCTAAGGTCTCTTTTAGACCCCATAGCTCTCCTCTGGCCCCCAAAGCATCAGATCCCACCAAGATCGGTGTGATCTGATGCTTGTTCAAGCTGCTAATGGGTTGTTTACATGAGCATGAAATCCTCGTCCGTTCCAGTTTCTGATGTCACACAGTGGGAGGAATGACATCCGTTTCATGTGTACAATTTTTGTATTTTTGTACAACCTTGTCTGGCTCCTTTTGCAACCTAAGGCAGAAATACAGTTTGCATAATACTCACACCTATTCCTGTGGTGCTGGACTTCTTCCCAGCCACATTTGCATGGGAGTCATTCATCCCAGCATATGGACACTGTGGGTTTATTTACTAAAGCTGGAGAGTCCAAAATCAGACTCCCTTCTGCATAGAAACCAATCAGCTTCCAGGTTTCATTGCCAAAGCTTCATTGAACAAGCTGAGGTTAGAAGCTGATTGGTTTCTATGCAGAAGGGAGTCTGATTTTGGACTCTCCAGCTTTAGTAAATAAACCCCTGGGTGTCAATGGATCAATGCTGAGCTGTGCATGCAACTTCCTATAAAGTGGAACAGTTCTACTGTTACATACTGTCAGCAGGCAGGCTTTTTGTTTTTTGCAGAAGAGCCACGCAGTGTGTCTTCTGCAATAAAATACACTTACCTTCCTGCTTGCAGTGATCCCCAGAATGTAAACTCATGTAGCACTACCCTGCCAAGAGCTGCTAGGTAGGCTGTGTTCTCTCTTCTGCCTTGACTCTGAGAACAAACTCAATCCCACTGGCACACTAGGTTAAGTAAATGGATACTGCACTGCTACTAGGAACACATATATAGATACCCTGCATACAGCTAGGGTTCAGTATCTAAAAGGAAACATCACACTAGTTAGTAGTACATTCAATATATTGTCACAGGTTGCAATAAATAACAATATGCACATAAATGAGTAAGTAAAGGATTAGGTAAATCACAATTCACAAGACAATATGTTCAGTAGGCTATAGCAGCACAATATGAAGTTCTATGCTGCTAAATTAAAGAAAACCTGGTAATTCATAAAATCAGTACGTAATGGCATTAGAAAACTAACAACATTGAAAATGAATACTGAAAAAACTCATCTGTAAACAGTAGGCTATATATATATATATATATATATATATATATATATATATATATATATATATTACAGTGCACTCTATATGAATGGCAGTGATGAAATTCACTAAGCAGCAGAGTGAGCAGTCTTTAGCCCTAGTTCTTTTGCCAGCTAGCGTTGGGGCCCAGTCTTTATGGTGGTGCACATGAATAGAGCCCAGTAAAGTCTGCATGCAGCAAATACTGCTGATTGTTAGATGGCTAGTCCCTATATGCTAAGTCTCAACTAGCAGCAAAAGGTTAATGGCAGCAGTCTCCTCTCACCAGTCCCAATGATAAAGCAACGGGTCCTGCTGTTCAGATGTCAGCTCACTTCCTGGAGCAAATCTGGTTCTCAGTACATGGCTACAGGCTAGTAGCAGGTTGATGTACACACTCTCACAGCATAGATAAAATCTCTTGATATTCAGTCTGAGAAAATACTCTCTCTATACCCGACTCCCATTGAGAATTGTAGTCCAATAGTCCATTACCTGCCGTAGTAAATCTTTCCCAAACTTCATCTCCCATGATTCAATGCTGTTAACCATCAATTCTCTTGAGCTCCTTATGCTTGTCAGTCCCCCCTGGTGGATGGAGGCGAGGTAGTGTTAGCCCATTGACTAGCTCAGTAATGACTAGCTCCTGCGCAAAAAGATGCCAATGCTAGCAAGGAACAGGACTGCTGGAGGAAAAATGAGACCAAACTGTTCATTAAAAGTGGCAGTTAGAGGATTGAGACAAACCATTTACTACTTACAGTGTTGCATACAATGGTCAGCTTTTATAAATGTATGTAAAGTATGCCTTTATTCCAAAAAGTAAAAACAAACCGTTGTAACTACTAACCCTAGGTTCACACCTAAGCGTTTTTTGCAGCATTTTGCAGAAATGCAGTACAGTTCATTTAACATGATTTCCTATGGGACATGTTCACCTCTATGCGTTTTCACCCGGTGCATTTTTTGGAAAGGGTCAGGAACTTTTTTGAATGAAAAAAGCTGCCTTTATGGTTCTATAAACTTCAGTGGAAATGCTGCAGAAAAGTATGTATTGCGTTTGTGCTGCATTTTTTTATGCGTCTTTACCGCATTTTAAATCTGCCTAGCAACAAGAAGAATTTAAAGAATTTGAAAAAATAAAACGCGTCAAAAACGCGGGTGCAAAAACGCAAAGCGCAATGCAGAAACGGCTCAAACGCAACCTGCATAGGTGTGACCCTAGCCTTAGTGTTAGCAGGAGTTTGGCAGGAGACATGGTCAGCACAGAACAGGTAGAAGGCAGAGGTGTGGTCAGTTTATGCAGCAGGCAAAGGCTGGATGGCAGTAAGTCGGCAGTAGGTGGAAATATCAGGCTTAGGGCCTTGGTCAGGTAAGACCTGGGCACAGGGGTCGAGGTTTCATCCCACCCAATCTCTTTGAACCCTCCAGACTAACAGACCCTTGTCCGTGACTTTCAAAACCTGGAGAAAACCAAAAACTTTGTTTTCTCCACTTGGAAAATTTATTCTGGAGCCCCTCACATACATGAGACCCCTGTGTTGTCTTGAATCCAAGTAATACAGTGGCAGGGCATAAGATCAGTTCAGGAGGCAGGCAAAAAGCATGGTCGATTAACAGGCCAAGGTCAATTCACTTGGAAGGCAGAAACGTGGTTGATAGTTCAAGCGGCAGGCAGAGGCATCATCAATAAACAGTCCAAGGTCAGTTCAGGCGGCAAGCAGAAGCATTGTTGATAAACAGTCCAGGTCATACAGGGAAATAGCAGATAGTGGACACTGGAAAAATATCTTGACTAATAGTGTAGTGATGTGTGATAGATCTGGAAGCACTCTCCAATACAGAGTCCTGGCTGGGAAGGACATTGGGGACAGTAGTATTGGGTGTCACATCGAATTTGGTTACTGGAACATACACAACATTTTGGGGGGGGGGTTTGTGGCCTGTTTGGGTAAGAAGGAGGATATCGGGGAAAGGTCTCTCATGGAGTCTGGTCAATGAATCAGAGCGAATTTGTTCAGGGGCATGGCCATGCAGATAGAAAAGGGCTGTAACAATGTTCTCTTGATACTTCAAGTAGGCTAGAGATATTTGTGCGCACTTAGAAAAGATGACATCCGAATTGTACAGGACTAACTGAAACAAGTAGATGGCAACCTTTTTATACCAATGGATTGATCTACTGGTGGCTAAGTACGGCTGTAACATCTAATCATTCATATCCACCCCCCATAAACTGGTTATAGTCATGTATGCATTTTGGTTTCTGTATGGGACCTTGTCTTGTTTGAAGTTCCACCGAGGTGTGATCATGAATTGAGGAAAGGATATAGACATCTTTTATCTTTCTACTTTAGGACTAGACTCTCTTCATTCCACAAACTGACTGTTTCCCCCCGTTTTAATTTTGTAGTGACCTTTTGTTGTGAGAAGCCCTTGCGGTTGGCCCGTGCTGTTCCACAGGCCACAGTTTTCTTTAAATAGAAATGGCAGAATGATGGGAGACTTGTGTAAAAATGATCTACATACAAATGGTAACCCTTCTCAAACAGCGGTTCTATAAGCTACCAAACAATTTTGCTATTTGTCCCCATATAGCTAGGGCATCTAGGGGGTTCTAGCTGGCTGTCCTTTCCCTCATAAATGTTAAAGTTGTAGGTATATCCCGTGGTATTGCTGCATGCCTTGTGGAATTTTACTCCATATTTGCCCTTTTACTGGGGATGTACTGTTTGATGCTAAGCCTTTCAGTAATGTGGACTAGGGATTCATCCACACAAGTATTTTTGTCGA